GGACAAGTGAGGTGGGGAGAGGGATCTGGAAGCCACAAAGAGGGAGGTTGGAATGAGGCTTACCAGGTGGATGGGCTGGACCATGCGCTGGAGAGAGGCGTCAGGCTAGGATTGGCAGGGTCTGCCCTGACCGCTTGGGCTCCTCACTAACTTTGCCCTGGCCACTTTCCCTGCAGGTTGCCCTCTCGCCCATGCCCTGATCCCTCTGCCCCGCTGAGCACATCCCGTACCACCTGTGTACCTCACACCATCCACGTGCCCTGCGTGCTGGGCCGCTTCTGAAGTCCCAGCACCTTCTGTGAAGCTTGGCCTTAGCTTGGTGGCCACCCAAGAAGCAGGGCTGTCTAGCAGTGGACCACCCGCAATGCCCGCTGGCAGCGCAGCGAGAGCTATTGTCCCGGCGTTTCCCAAAGTTCTCTTCCCCTGATGACTCTGGTGTCTGTACTCCTTGAAAGATGTGTGTCTTGGGTATGTGGTAAATAAATCCTCTTGCAACAGACGCCTAAGTTTCTTTCCCCATTTGTAGCTTGTGCTGGTATAACCATAGCCCAGTTCTATTCAACAGGGCTCAGAGCAGTGAGCCCACATGCCTTCTTCATTGTTAAGTCCCTTCAGTTTCCTGTAGAGTTGAGAGGTGTTAATGGAAAGACCTGCATGCTACAATCCAGTTAAAACCAGGGCCAAGTAGTAAAAGAATAAAGAGAAGAGGGTGATGGTTATGCCAGAAACCTGGGCCAAACTATGATATAATTGAGACTATACTGTAATAAACCTGCCCTAAACTCATTACATCTGGCACGATGGTATCATCCATCCACCCATCCATCCATCCATTTACCCATTCACTCATCCACCCATCCATTTGTCCATCCATCCATCCGTCCGTCCGTCCATCCATCCATCCATCCACCCACCCACTCATCCACCCATCCACCCATCCATTTGTCCATCCATCCATCCATCCATCCATCCATCCATCCATCCATCTACCCACTCACCCACCCATTCACCCATCCACCCACCCATCCACCCACCCATCCATCCATCTATCCACCCATCCACCTACTCATCCATCCATCCATCCATCCA